GTATAGCGATTGTGCAAGGGGATTCGGGTGATGTGTAAGGTTCTAGTGAAATTTGGAGAATTTTTGTGGGATAAGTTCTAGTACAAATGGGATATTAAGATCATGGTGTAGGGTTTTGTTGGTTACATAGAATGGAGTATCAACTTTTATTCGAAGGACCTTAGATTGAAAGAATTGAATGCATTTGATGTTAGAAAATTTGCTGTTCCCCTACAGTTCAAGTCCGTATGTCCACATAGGTTTCAGGATTGTCTTGTAAATAAGTAATTTGTTTTAAATAGAAAGTTTAGATTTTCTGTTTAGTAGTCTGTATAGTTGGCCGTATCGTAGGTTGAGGTCTTGTCTTTTAAGTCGGGTATGTGGGTTCCATATTAGTCTTCGATCTAAAAGAAGGCCAGGATACCGGGCTGAGACAGAGGATAAAATCATAAATATACTTACTTAAACCCATTTGGATATACTCATACACAGTTATACGGTATCGCTAATAAGACCCACATACAAAAACTTTAAAGCTTCCAATCAAAATTATTGCTACTTATAACAAAATCACCTTGGTATTTGACTAATAGAAACTATACAGGATGTCTCGGGTCTTAATTGCCAAACGTTTTGGAAGTGATTTTAGAAAAAATGTCCAACAAAAAAAATTCCGAAAATGTCCGATTCCGAAAATCCAATTTTGTCTTTTCTGGGTATGGTCACGTTTTTCCATTCATATTTTTAATCAAATACTTTATAAATGAATACAAAATTTATTTTTATAATCAATTTAATAAAAACAGATGTCAGGTCGCAAGAAAAAGAAGAAATTAAAACTTTATAATAATTTACCAGTTGTTAATTTTACAGAAAACAGACGTATCGTGGAGTGACAAAGTATCAAATCATATCATTTTTAACACAACATGAGACGAATCCTAACTCTATTCTGCAATAAACCTCAACTAAATTGATATGAAATGAATGCTTATCAAACCAGGAAGTTTGCATAAAAGTGGGGTATCTGCAATATTGTTTTAAGATGATAAAAAAAATTGCGAATCATCCATGATTTAATAAAAAATCATCATAAAAAATCTTGGTCACCTTAAGAAAAGTAAAAATCAGATCATACGTCAAATGAATTGTTTTGTTAAAAATTGTTTCTAGAATCACCTCTAACAGTTGACCAACATATAACGACCCCCTACTAACAATTTTATACAAATTTAACTGGACATAACAAACAGAGATGGACATAGCTGCCATTCCACTGAATATGATGATGTGACTAAAAAGGCACTGGATGAGAGACCTCCTTCCTTAAACGATCCAAGTAATATAACCATGTTAAGAAAAATGTGCTGCTGGGTACTGTCCTTCCCCATGCTTGACGTATAATTGTTTTTTTTTTTTATAGTCAGCTTATTAGCTGATTTTCAACATACAGTAGAAAGGGGCAAATAAATATTTAAGGGAAAAAAATCCACAAGATATGATAAAAAATAAATATGTACCCGCAAACAAATCCTATATCCAAACCAGTAATTCCATTCAAACAAACAACATATCCAATTAATACTCAGTTGTTAAATTTTAGTATTTTTAACTTCAATGCCATATTTGTCTTTAATTTAAGTACCCGGACTGGTAATGCCGGAGATGCGGCTGATAGAGAAGCGCTGGGATCTCTTAGAGTCTCGCTTTGTCCTTCACACGTGGGGGAAAGGGCTGGACTCGGAGATCTCTTGCCTGATTGTAAATATTGAAATTAAGTATGAATGTTTTCTTGTTAATCTTTTTTTTTTTTTATCTTTTTATTTCTTTACTTATAATTTATTTAATTTTGCTACGAATTTCTGTATTTTATTTAATTTTAATTCTAAGTTACATTTCCTTGGTTTATTATAGTTTTTGGCTTTGTTTTATACATGCATATTTTTTATTTTTTTTTATTTATTGTATATATGGTATGAATGTGCCTCACTCAGATTTAGTACTCAGTGGCCTTAAGTGTGGCAAAATGTATTATTCCTCAATAAAAAAAAAAAAAAATTAAGTACCGTCTTTAGACGATATTTTTCATCAGGCGAATGTGGTGTTTATAAACTTAAAAACTTACAAATTCTAGAATTTCGTTGGTAAAAATGAAGAAATAAAAAAAAAAAAGGGATAAATCGTTATTTTTGAAACTATCAAATATAAGCAATTGTTTTTGTGTATTATAACTCCATAAAATCCCCCCCTCTAAATGGCACTTTTAAACTACAGTTAAATGGCTGATATAAACGGTTTAATTCATAAACTTTTGAAGAATTGGAATGATGAAATTTAAAAATGTATCAAGTTAAAGAAACTCCATTAAAAAAAAAAAAAAAAAAAAAAAAAAAATACTCCGTGTTATACTCATTACTATCTCAGCATTTCTACCAACCAACAGTCATAAGTAATAGAACAAGAAGAGGAAATTGCCGAGTAATTCTTCTGCTCCTGGGAAAGGAATAATATCACTCTGCAATTACCTTTGACGAGCCACCAACGGATAATAACGCCGCTGCTTGGTTGGCGGAGCTCTGAACCAGGTGATTACACATTCGGATCCAAGTTGATATTCAGTCCCGATATAACGCCAGATGGAAATGACTAATACCATCCATTGAAAGACAGTTTCATTGGCCCACCTCCATGATGTCTTTTATTGGGAATTAAAATTCCTTAAAGTTCTCACGGAACTGGTAGATGAATCTAGAACTCTGAATTAAAGTTTTATCAACAGTTAATTAAGAAAGTTCACGGAATCAATTAAAAAGTTACCTAAGACTTCCAGTCCTAATGTTTTCAAAGAACTTACGGATATATTTTCAGTCATTATATGTACCTAAGAATTGAATTCTATATTCTATATTCAGCGTATCATCAAAAGAGCAAGACTTTTAGCAATTTATCACCAAAGTAAAAACATTTAATAAAAATAAAACAAAAAAGTAGAAATGTAATTGAATATACCATGCAATATATCGCAATATGCAAATTTCTATGGAAAATGAGGTTTTGAGTTTCTCTAGTCAATCCTTTCCTGGGGCATATTCTGATCCCCCCAAATGAAATCCACGATGTTTCATTTCTTCGCTATAGTCTGTTGTAATAACCTGTGATTTAAAAACTAGCAAGTTGTGATGTAAAAAACTGTAACTTACAGTGAACGTTATAGAAATTGAGTCGTTACCGAAAAAACGTAATGAAATGTCCAATGAAATATACTAATGTAAATGCATATTGTCTAAAGCCTTTTTTTGCATTAACTACAGTATCAATTAGCTTTAATAATAGATTATATAAAACATAACGTTTTCATAAGATTAAAAAATTTGATTCCAGAACTTATGTTTACTTTTTCTGAAATAATTTTTAAAAAACTGTCCTTAGCTCAAAGCTGCGCAAATTTTGATGGTTATTTGTAAAAGACTATAAAAAATATTTTAAAATGAAAAAAATAAAATAAAATAACGGCAGAATTCTGGGAAGAACATTTTATAGACTATATAAGTGTTGTTTACATATTTCAAAGGTTTGATATTAGCCATTTTTTAAGTGAAATTATCACCAACATCAAATTGGTTGAACATAAATTAATCTAGTGAAAAAAATATAGTTGATTGAATTATCAACAGTAGTCTTACTTAGGCAATATCATGCACAGGAAATGATTTGAAAAATAAATAATGTAATGCTGTAAATATTTGTCAACTGGAGGGACTGAAGGATTACTCGCCTAAAACTCCCTCTTTTGTAATCTGAGAGTTTAACTAAACTTTAAAATTGTACGAGGCCACTTTTTAGGTCACTAACTATCTATAAAAAGGATGATATATAACATTTCTCATATTTTGAAAGTAGTTTTTGTCCTCCTAGATCGGCGATGGCCCTACTGTATCTCGTGTTTAATAAGTTACAAAACAAATGCTGGAGTGAATTGTTTTTTAAATACTTTGAACCGGACATAATGGGCCTAGTATATTTTCTTAACACTAAATTGGGCCTAATAAAGTCTAAAAGCCTTCTTCTCTTCTTCATTATATGCAATGATTGAGCCATCATTTTGAAAACTATCTATTCCTTGAGGTGGGAAAAATAGTTACATACTCTCAAAATTACAGAGGAAAGAGTTAAAAAGAACAAAAAATATTCCTTTATCATATAATACATTTTATTATATTATTTTGCAATATGCTCACTTACAGATATACCCTGGGAATTATTCGCAAGCGCAAACTAGTTTTTTATATATATAAAATTCCGTATGAGCGTTAGAAGCAAATCATCCAAAATTAAAGCCAAAGACATGCAATAATATAATACGTTATCAAAGACACGAAAGCATCGGTGATAAAGGTGAGAAGTGAGAAATAAAACTTGATACTCCGTATAATAGATCTATGGCGGAAAGCTTTCTGGCTCCCTCCACGCCTAGGGCTCAGGAAATTGCCTGTGGAGAGGACCTCGGGGAAAAATAAACGTTCCTTAATTCGATTCTATCCTCCGGAGCGTATCTTTTTCTTTCCAAGGAAGCTATGAATTATTCCCAGGCGGAAAATTAATGAATAAGAATGTTCCTATTACAGGAGGCGAAGACCTGATGTGAAAGCTTTGCGATAAAAAAAAAAATACAATAAACAAATGAGAAAACTATGGAATGGGGAAAATAAAAACAAAATCATTATACATGTATATTTCCTACATAAGTGAATTTGGTATTCAATTCCGAAAACAAATTTGTATACACCAAGGATTTTGCTCAATACCTTTCTTTAAGAGAAAACAAAAACATAAATAATAACTTCTGTTTCTTCGCGGCATTAAGGGTACGGATCCCTCCCTCTCTCATGATAGGGTGGTTAGCCCCCCCATTCTATCATGGGACAGGGGAACCGTAGGGGTTTGCCCCGGGCCTGTGACCATTCATGGCCTCTGGGACCTTAGGTCCAAAAATGGTACTACGGGCTGGTAGTCTGCCTCCTTCAGGCAATGACTACATGGGCTGGTGGCCGGGGCCGCTTGGCGGTACGCCGGTTGCAGACGTAGTGGTCATGTGTTAGATGCTCCCCAGTAGTATGACCCCAGTTGTTCTGGTTACTATCTACTGCGGTGCGGAAGCTAGAGAAGTAGGTTTTGTCTTTTCCAAGGATGCCATCAGGTGGTATCCTTACCTATTGGTCGTGGAGTGCAGGGATAGGAAAGAGTCCGGTTAAGGCCCTCAGGCTAGGCACGACTTCTTTCCGTTCCCGTCCTCTATACGACGTACACACCTGTTCCTTCGCGGCAGCCAAACAAGCACTAACCATTCCACGCAGGTCGCTGCTATTTTAACACCATGTGACACAAACTTTCCCCTCAAAAAGAAAATAGATCTTGGCTGGCAATCCATGTGGAACGAGAGCCTTCCGAGCAAAATCAAGGAAATAGAAAAATCATGGTCCACCTCGAACCGTCCTATTCGTAGAGAGGAAGTTGCCTTAACTAGACTAAGGGTGTAGCATACAAACCCAACACATTTTTACCTAATACACATACAGCCAACACTGCTACAGTACTCTCAAAGTCAACCACAGTTTTCAAGCACGTCCCTATAACGTCTCAATTTACGTGTCCCATGAAAAATCATTCTTTTGATTCCAAATGTAGAAGATACAGGTTTAGTACGCTCGGCATTGAAAAAATATATAAGAACCGTTCAGGTTAGCAGTATTTTATTCCAAAGTTATGACATGCAATAAAAAAGAGGTAACATAATGAAAAAATGACAAATCATAAATCTGATTTAAAAATGACCCAATACGAGAATAACAAAAACTGATATAATTTACATAAAAGATAAAAAGGCATAGGGAAAAAAAACTTCGATCCCGATACCACCAATCGCCCTATATACACTTCCATCCACTGGCTGCTTACCAGTGCGACGAAAGACTTGTTTTCGTGGATATGGGAATATAACTTGTAAATTATGTCTGATTAACTTTATATATAGTACACTTATGTTTTCAAGGTCGAGGAACTAAAATATTGCGCCAAGATTAGAAAAATTACTACGAAAAGCATATACATATCGAATTTTTTTGCTTAAACTTGGGAACCTTTTAATTTTACAATAAATTAATTGATTTACTCCAATATCCTTCCAAATTTGAGCCAAATCGAACGTGTAGAGTTATAGACGTATCAAAGAAAACACGTTTGGCACATATACATATTTACAAGTGAACATAGAGGGAAGTGTAAAATAAAATTTATATTACATCATTTTTTCAATACCTAACTTTCATATCACTATGAGTCTAATCGAACGAGCCGTTTGTGAAGTATTAGTATATCTTGGGGGGTCCTCCTCTTCCTCGCCTTTAAGGCTATACGGGGTTATCCCGTGGCAGGGAGTATGGGCGGGGATCTAAAAGACTCCCCCGGCCCAGGAACGAGAACACGTGACTATTTTAAATCCATTCTCATATATTGTCGGGCAACAGCGGCAGTGCACACACGTTAGCCCGTTCGGCCACCCCGCCCACAGTATTAACATATCTAAAAAAGTACGTTTTTGCGTGCATAGCACTTGGAGGAATTTAATAAAATTAATATGGGACCATCTAGGAACCTGTCCGTACAACTCCTGACAATTTCATGGACATTGAAAAATACGGTAGTAGGTGATATAACCGTTACATCGATTTGACTACAGACAGAGAGGTAGACACAGAACCAAATTTGATCCTTGTCTGAAAGGTAAAATTTGAGTGAAAATTTTCAATTCTTAGCATAAAAATATTTTGAATTTCTCGCATAAAGCTTCCCTAACTTCAGTAGTATGGAAACAAGATTATTTAATGGTTCATATCCAGTTTAATATTGAATTGCAGTGACAAGTATTATATTGGCAAAATAGGACTTGCTTTGTCATATCTTAAAGATAAAAACAAATTATATTTTAATCCTGAAAAAAACGAAACAGTTCTTTCATTGGTGTCAAAAGCGAACACTACGTTGCTATCAAAATGCTTCATAAATAAATTGTAGAAGTTTCAATTCCCGTAAGAATTTGAAAAACTTTAGGATGATAGAGATTATACACTTGATCATTGTTAATCTTATGGTAATTGTTAATCCCAGATCAATGATTGTTTAATGAGGGTTTAATATATTTTTATATATTATCCATTTCCTGGATTTTGTATATTATTCCATATCAGAGTTATTTCGAAAATAATTATCAGGTATTTTTGAGAAATAATTTATTTAAGACATATGGAAATGTGAAATACAGGTTATGAGATAATTATATCGCAAATAGCCCGTACCAAGATAAATTGCTTGAATTCAACGAATATTTTTAATGATTTCATAAATAAACACATATTCTTTAATTAGCAATATGGAATAATATTCCAAGAATAATCATTATTTTGGAAATAATTTATTCATGAAATATCATTTTATTTATTTAACAAGTGAACTGTTCCAAGAACACCGAGGTCTAATTAAAGTATTACTTTCCTAGAAATATTCATAATATTTATAATTAAACTCTAACATCAATAAAACATTGTAATAATATGAAATATAATCCGTATTGTAATAGTATACAAGGATTATTGAATTTATATACATTCTCTTCAATCCTGCTTCTGTTTGCTTGATTTTTATTTTGTTTCACCTTTATTTTGAATATCCATTAATAATCTGATATAGTTATGGGTTTTACAGAAAAAAAAAGTAATAAAATGTTGAAATAAAATAAAAATTCCGCGAATTAAGTTAATGCAGGACTCGAACAAAATAAATCAATTATCTCAAGATTATAAAAAAAAAATAAATTAATAACAAAATTGAAATCTCGATATCTCATCTCTGTAAGAAAAGGTTTTCCACGTGATGCTGAGAGTAACGAAAAATCTACTGACCTCTGGTAGAACGATAATAAAATAGAAAAGAAACTGGAACTGAAAATGAACCAAATAGAGCGAATTTTCCGAATCCTATTTTCCGGACCGTTGAGTGAATATTATTGCTTCATATCAGCCCCTTGTATTTATCCTCCTTATCTCCAACACACAGCACGTGCCTAGAAGTAACCTCAGAATTCATATTATAGGCACGAACCAATCTGAAGTATGAGTAAGTGAATTATTTGAGATAAGTTTTTTTTTTTTTTTTTTTTTTTGTCTAAATGAAGTGGGTCCTTTTAGGCAAAAATTAGTTATGGTAAAAACTGTTCTACATATTGTAATTTATAATTAAATTGTACTTTTCGTTTCTAGGCACATTTTTTTATTTAAAAAATGAATGCAAAACGATCTTTAATTGTGACGAAATGTATATATATATATATATATATATATATATATATATATATATATATATATATATATATATATATATATATATATATATATATATATATATATATATATATATATATATACATTTCGTCACAATTAAAGATATATATATATATATATATATATATATATATTTATTATTCAATAAAATAATTTGATTAAACTAAACATATTTATATTGTTGTTTTTGTAAAATTGAAGGCAGAACTAAAACTTAGGAAAAGATCTGGTATGTCCACTCACATAATTCACTGACATCATACTAATTTCACAATTGTTTTTTAATATCTTTAAATGTATCCTTTAACAACAAAAATAATTAATTAAATTTATGCGATTTAATTTTCCCGAAAGTTGATCACAGAAAAGATTTGAGAATGATTTCTATTATTGATCATCAAAATCATTAGAGTCGTTTTTGCGCTACAATCTATAGAAAAATATGTTTCACTTATTACGTATCAGTAGTCAAACACCTACAAAATAAAAAAGATGCTTAAAAATCGGTTAACTAGTTCCCGAGATAATCTTGGCACATACAGACCAATGTGTTGTTTGGACTCTGAAACAAGAGAAAAAAATCGAAGCCATTTTCCAAATGCTCCGCTGTTTCTGGTTGGCTGCTGTTATACAAGAGACTAGGTATGTAGACCTTTCTGTACAGCCTGAGTGAAATTATGCACCCTCTCCCCAATTTCTTGTCTACTTTAAATTTAAACTTAAGACAATGATTACAATTTCTTCCATTACATATTGTTTGTTAATTAAAATCAAAATACGATTTAATTTTTTATTAACGAAAAAATAACTTTATTGTGGGATTAAGGTTTCTTAAGAACAATTCTGTAGTTCGAAAAATTATGCCCATTAGACTAGCTAAATATATTTATTTTGCTTTTGTATGTACATTTTCTATGGAAATTCTATTTAGTTTCTATGAAACTGTTTATTTCTCATTCAATAATCTTAAAGCAGACATTATTAACTACAATATTTTCATTAGTAACATTTCTTTATTTAATAATATCACATCCTCGCACAACTAAGAAAATTAGCAAATGTCAAGTAGTGCTGTTAATTAATAGTAGTGATACAGTTATAGTGTTACCCAACTCAAATGCGAGTCTAACGGACTTAGTCTTGGTCTTGGTCTTGCGCAAGAATGTTGCAACATTCTTGCAGTTACCTATAAGCCTATGAATATAGAAATATTACTGTAATTTTTCAGGTAAGGAAAAGCTATGTAAGCCCGAATGAAAAATTGGAAGAGTTAAATGCAAAAGTTTATTGATACTTTTTTTTTTTTTTTTTTTTGTTTTTCCCAACCTCGCCTTTTAGGCTATACGGGATTTTCCCGGGCCGGGGGGTGAGGGCGGGGAATTTAAAATCCCCTCCGGCACCGGGACGCGAACTCGTACTTTTTTATATCATCTCAAATCTCTGTTATCCGGTTGCCAGGCAACTAGCGGTGCTGTGCACTCGCTTTAACCTATTCGGCCACCCCGCCCCCGATATTTTCTTTACATATAGAAACTAAAATTGTCAAGTTTTAGTAACTATTTTGTCTTAATTTTTGTTCTCAAACACGATTTTTTTTACCTGACTTGGTCCTGGTCTTGCAACAGTAGGCGAACTTGGTCTTGGTCTTGCAAGACCAAGACCGATTTTGGGCAACACGATACAGTTCATTCACACTGCAACAATAAAAAAGCCATGGGCTTTTCACTATCCATTACCTTCTATTATCTTATATGGTAGATATTTATTTATCTAACATCTTTAGCCTTTCCAACGGCATATCATGCATCTGTGTCATAACCCTTATTTTCCTTCATGAATATGTTTTAAACCTCTGAAAACATTTCTCCAATTTCTTTTTTCGTTGTACTGTCAAATTCTTTCATAGTTAATTTCATAATTACCCATCGTCGATTACTGATAACATTGGGACTTTTAATAATTTATAAAAAACAAAATTAAATATACTTTAGATGAAAAAAAAAAACATTAACACCTTATTATAAAAATCATAAAAAGTGTATAAGTTTTGAGTTATTCGAAAATTTAATTTTATCACTCCTCGTAACTTTTTTTCGGTGAAGTATGTTAAAGGGCTACGAAATAGGAGACTTAAGCCAAGTTCCATCGAAATCGGTGCAACCGTTTTGATGCTATAGTCTATACCGACTCGCGTTTTTCAGCCGCCATTTTAAAAGGATAAGGCGGATGGTAATGCCAAGTTCCACGTATCATCCTCGGGTGCCCTTCGACATCAATAACAAATGTAAAATTTTAAGTTCGAAATTCGATTAAGTATTTTCGGAGAAAAGTCAAACTTTGAGGGGAGGTTAACTTTTTTTTTGGTCGGTTACTAAGGTTAGTTATTGAAAATAATAAACCAAAATTCAGAATAGGCGCACTTAAACCATTTAAATTAACATTATAATGACTAACTTAATCAGAATCATCGGAGACGTTTTCGCGAAAATTATAACAATGTACGAAATACTTTTTTCGGAAACATATTTATACAACGATGTTAGATCTGTGATATAATTATTCGATATCTTTCACATTACATATATTTATTCTTAGAAAGCAAATAATTCTTTTATTTTAAACCATATAATTTATTTTTGCAGAAAGTAATGGTTATTTCGCTTTCCGTTATTAAAGTTGAGAATTAAATTTCAACATGTGTCTAGAGGTACCAATGTATTAAACAAAACATTCCGCCACGTCAGAACATTAAAGGAGAATAGCTCTCCACTACTAGAAGGAAATAGACAAGAAAAAGCCACATCCCACTCGAAGGGGGAAATAAAACATTAACGAAAGGAAATAGGAGGGACGAGATCCAGAGAGCGACTGGAATGAATTCCGGTCCATCAGGAAGGAGGAGGGATATTAAGTTTAGAGGATTTGGGAGTTGGGAGTTTATCGACTATTCCAGAATCCTGGGAAAGGAGAAGGCGACTCGGTAACCGATCTACGGGGAGTTAGTGAGAACTTTCTAGGTTCCAACTATGAGTTAAGCCCAAACTATCTTAGCATAAGATCGTTGAGAGGGAGGAAGATCATTGCCGACATTCAGATTAGTCAGATATCATTAACTAAGCACTGGATATTTATAGATGTTGTAATTTATTGAGGAAAAATATACTTGAAGATCCTGGATTTGATTGAGTCACTTATTTCCGAAATGAACCGTAATTTTTTTTTTACTATCGAGATAAGTATAGATTCTGGAACCCAATGGTTCCGATTATTTAATTTTTTGTTTTCAAAACCGATCCTAAATATTAATAAAAGTGGTTAGGAAATGGGTGTATTTCCGAAACCTGTCTTTTTAACCGATTAAGGGAAGCTACCCGAGGGTTATGTGTTTGGATTGTCCGCTAAAACTACGTAATGATTTATTAAGCAAACGGCTTGATTGATTTTTTTATTTTGGCTCAAATTAAACGGTGAGATCCCCCGGATGTTTTGAAACAATTTGAGCTAAAAACTTTGAGAACTCACTGAATGAAATGTTCGTCTTCAGTCTGTTGAAAGATATGTAACGAAGTATTGAGGGAACGACTTGACTATTTTTTAAGTTAAATGGTTCAAATGACTCAATAAAATATCCTGAACGTTTTGAAAAACATTGAGCTAGAAGTACAGATAGAAAATGTTTTATTATATTTCAAGTATTATCATATTTGTTTGTAATGGTTTCAGAACTTCGGTCAGTCAGTTGAAAGAGGCTGCTTTATATGCGAAAATTTAAATTAAAGAGGTGAAATTTGACGGTTCATTTAACGGAAGAACCGTATAGCTGAAGTTTTGATATGATTTTGATTTTCCCGCACGAATTCTCCGTTGCGTTTCAAGATACATGCAAAAGAAGCGATATTTCGAACTTTTTTTTAGTTTTTCGGACATGACTCCGAAACTATGCATTTCATCGAAATTATTATCATATACTAAGTTAATGTTGATAAAATTTAAAATAAATTTTATATGTTTTTTGATGTAGGCCTAACGGGTGAGTTGTTGACTGTTTGCTTATTTCACAAAAAATATCTTTTTTCATCGGTTTTCCCTCATAATTCATAATCTATGCATCTCTCGAAGAAATTCATCATGATCGATTTGAAAGAGGATTAAATTTCCTATGTTTTTCGTGTAGGCATGTTAATATGTGAGAAGGTCAAGCGGCTGTTAAAGCGCATGCAATCGACGGTGTATTTCACTCGTAGTATCTGCCGCTCCCAACTTAAGTACTTTTTATGATTCCAATGCGTTTGATTCGACTAATTTAACTATACTTATAACATGACTAGAATTTATAAACAAATAACATAGCTTTTATATATTCTGTTAGTATAAGAGACAGCACATTCTATAATAATCAAAAATTTAAGAACCGAAACGAGCTTTAAAGTCCGAGCGCTCTAATCGTTTTTCAACTTTCGTACAGTTCACTTTTACATTTTTTCAAATTTATATGTATATTTTCGTATATATATACTCTCAAGAACCAATAAATTGACTATATAACAAAACTTATAAATCCGAAAAAAGTTATAAAAACAAAAAAGAGGACACCATAATTAATAAGTTCCTTTCACAAAATTGACATTAGCTGCAGGCGAAGTTCCTTAGGAATATATTTTTAAACACTTTATATTTCCGGCTCAAGTTATGGCAGCTAAATAAGAGGACGGGGTTAATTCGCCCCCACCCCTGGCTGTCAACAGCAGAAGGTCCGACAAATTATCCGGCTTCATCAAGTCCCTCGGGAAGAGACAAAGTTGGAAAAAGTTTCCAGGTAAGTCTTCTTTGGAAACTGGTTGCCGCCCGAGGGGGTACCAAATTGGCATTGGGGACGTGACTGGGTTGTCCTGCGGTTCTGGAAGCTGAGTCGGGGTCTCCCCGCTGGCCCATTCCAGGGATTAATACTTGGGTCATGCCCGTATATAGAGCCACGGTTATTGCCCATTTGTGGAGACCTAAAAAGTTTTATATGGCGAATAGACTCCATCCATATCAAAAACTTACATAGATTGAAATATTATACTCTAATCCAGTAGCAAAGCATGATAAAAATAAGTGTATTGTGATAAATACTTGATGTGTTTTATTGCTAAAAGGTTGCCATGGATCTTAAGTGAACGACTGATCGTGCTATCCTGCTAAAGTGTTATTGGCTATTAAACCTCCACGTGTGATAACTCGGCCATCACTTGTTGATTTTATTTTTTTATTTGAACCCTGTTTAATAGGTGAAGTGTGATAACGGTAAATTTACAAGGAAATTTGAGAACAAACAAGTTATTAACTTTGAACTTCATCAAGTTTTCGGTAACTGTACAAAGAGATTATTATACTATTTTTATCCATGTTTTTCAGATTCCTTTCACATTTTCCTTACAATGCGTCACTTATAATCAAACAATCATTTTTTTTTTTATCATATTTAAACTATATTACAAATAAAAAGACATTCAGTAAATGTGAACAAAAGAATATAATAACATGAAACCACTAGTTGAGAAACTACCTACTGGTAGCACACTAAAAATCTATTTACAAAAGTAGATCTCGAGGCCATCTTCTTTTCAGACGACGCAGAGGGTTGTCAGGGCTCGACGAGGAAGCAAGGTTAGACAGGAGAGGGTTTGGATGGTTCTGAAGTTCGTCATGGAAGGATAAGTATCTAGTTTGGATCTGGTCAGGAACATAAGGAACATTAAGGTCAGTATAGATGATTTTATTTGTAACAAAGTAAGGAGAATTGAGGATTTTACGATGGATTTTGGATTGTAATGATTGGATACGAGAGGAATTCGATGGCTTAGTGGAGTTCCAGAGCTCAACTCCATAAGTCCAAATAGGTCTTATTATAGTCGTTTGTATATGAGTCGTTTGTAATTAATGGGAAGTTTAGAGCGTTGTTTAGTAATTGCTGGAGTAGTCGCAAACGTCAAGCGGTTTCTTGTCGTTTCAGTCTGGTATGAGGATTCCAAGTTAGACGTTTGTCTAAGTGGAGACCAAGTGATCGGATTTGCTCAACATGGATAAGTGGGGTATCATTAAAAAAGGCTAATGTTGGACAGGAAGTTATAGGTTTATGACTACGGGTAAATGTGATTTGATGGGATTTATTGGTATTTATTTTATTCGACCAGTTTTGACACCAATCTTCAAGGTTTGTGATGTGTGATTGAAGAGTTTGGAACGCAATTGTTGGGATGACTATCGAGTGTAGTAGCCGTCGTAATAAACATAGTAATCTTAAATAAATTTCTCGATTCAAACACATTTAACAGGTTTACAGCACTGGTTGTACGAAACCCAAATGAGAAATTCATTTTTATCCAATTAAAGAGATCTAAAGTGTACGGAAGCTTAAATAATAACAATGAATTCTTTAAATAGCTATTCATTCGTCATAAATATTTTTTAATTAATTTAAAAATAGCAATTAAATGTATGTAGTAATAAGATAAATAATAGTCTTATCCTGCAATACAATAAGAAAACTGGATTTAGACATTATCCACCAACAAAGATCTATATACATTGACTATAATGGCTCCATGAACCGGTAGTTGCAGATAGAGAAGTCCTACACACGATAAAATATTTTAACATGGTAAAATTCATATATGTTCGGTTTTACAAAGTCATTAAAAGAGGATGGTTAAGGGATGTCTCCTAAACGCATCAATTAGCTAGTAGATAGGTAAAACTTATGAATAAAATAAATAAAACAAACCTATGAACGTTCCTTCTTAGCACGCTCCATCGCCTATTAGAATTCTTTGCCACATAACATCCGTCATGCCTCTTCACTGTCAACTTTCAAATACCTCCTTTTCCAATATCTCCTTACATCCCAAACAGTCGATTCGCAACCATAAATTTCATTTTATGAACTGAATTTGTGAGGTGATGCCTACTGTTTAAGTTTTAACATAAAACAGCAATGATCTTTGACTATTATTTTTACTATTTATGTGTATTTCTCTTCACCTCAGGTTGTGCTTTTTCTTTCTGGCATATATGTTTATATTTTATACTTTTTGTCTCTCTGTGTACTAATATGAGTAAATACATATATATAGTTCCTTTTTTTACCTTTATACCACAATTAATTCTGAGATTTTATCTTAGTGTCTGCTTATTATTATAAGAATCACTGTAGATATGATTACATTTTTTATTAAATTATTTTTCTATTAGATAGCCTATTGTGTAGTTATGTATATATAGATATGTAATTTCTTTTCTTTCTTTCTTTCTTTTTTTTTCTCATTTCAATTTCAATTTCAGTTATATATATTCGATTTCAATTTCAGTTTTTTATATATATATATATATATATATATATATATATATATATATATATATATATATATATATTGTGTATTTCTTAGTAATTACATACTACTTTTAAATAATGTATATAATGATTAAATTTGTATAACTTAGTTTTTGGCCAGATTTGTATTTTTTTTTTTTTTTGTATTAATTCATCTGTGTTATTCTAATGGGACTTAGTCCCAGAATAAAGTTCTATTTTCTATTCTATTCTATTCTATTCTAGATAGAGCTATTTTCATACAAACATGTGAAATCTCTATACACCGATATTAATTGTTGTCAGAATCTGATCTTTACGGAAAACACAGATATAGTTTATCAACAAAATACATATAATTTAGCGACGATATGTGTAATATTAACGGAACTGACAACTTTCAACAATTTCTAACAGCTTTGAATAAGTTTAGATAGCAGATCAGAATTGGTTACCTGAATGACAGTAGAAATTTAGCAATATATAAACACGTCGTCGATACATTATATGCTCATCGTATAATAGATCTTAGCTACAATATATGTATGTCGTTGGCAGATTATATGCCATTTTTCGATATTAATTCGATCACAAAACTGAAAACACGACCTAAGTTAAGAGTTAGGAAAAATTATGGATTAAAATAAATTATAATAGCGAAGGAAAGAGTCATTAACGTGGGTAAGAGTGATTAAGGCCGTTGAAGGATAGACAGAAAAAAAACATTCGGCAAGGAATCGTCCAAACATACTTCGGTAATGTATGAACCAGTACCTTCATTTCCTACCTACTGATATTCAATGGGTATGACGTTTAGAATAACGTGAGATGTTGGCGTATTCTTTCTAAATTTTATTAGGATGTCACACACATCAACCATAAACTGATTTGAAGACAACAAATTAAGACAAAAATAAACTAATATAGCGGTTATTGAAGAAATCCATATTTTTCTGATCTTAATCAGCAAACATACTCCAGTAAAAAGAAAAAAAAATCACATTGATATATAAAACACATTCAGCTTTGAATTAATACATAATCAATGGTAACAAATAGAATTTTTTTAGTTATTCTCAGATTAGTAGGATTGAATCTGTAAGATCCATTACTCAAAACGATCATATATCACAATGTGTGGATCTAACATTAATGTTTGCCAGTCCTCAGTAGACCATGAAGTCCCTTATCCCAAGAGATACCGCAGCCGCACCGTCCCTAATTGAGTAGGAAACTCCCAGATCACCGAAGTTAGAACAGGAGGAAACACATCCTGGCTGAACTATGGGAAATTTAACATTTTTCGAAATAAAATTAATGTTAGTCTAATACAACAATTACTGCCATTAGGAAACGTAATTAAAGTTTTATAATATTCCAAAAAATACAGTAAAACTTTGAATGAAATGAGAATAAACAAAGTATAAGTTCAGCGAAGTAGTGTTTCTAAACCGTTTAGAACTCAGAGTGGATTATTTTGAAGCCTCTCTCCAAAGATATATAAAACTGTACATATATATGGACTTATTTATATTTATTAATTATTTAATACATATAAATGAAAACATCCATAAAAAAATAGTATATAAATGATAATAAGCCGAAAATTACACCCCAATAACGGGATCTGAGTAGAAGGAAAATCATTCCCGATAATAGAAAAATTCAAATACCTAGGTTCCACAATAACCCAATCAATGACCAAAGGGTAGAAATGGAGCAGCGTATAACAAGCACAAACAAGGCTCTCTTCTCCCTCTCAAAATTTCTGAAATCCCGAATAATCTCAAGAAATTTCAAATTAAGGGTATACAATGCTATTATAAAGTCAGTTCTAATATATGACGGTGAGAACTGGAAACGAATCAGCACCATAGAAAGAAGTGTAAAAAGATTTGAGAAATTGTGGAAAATCGTCCACAGGATAGCTGGAGCGATCTGGGATCAGAGTACTAACACATGGATAAGAAATACCAATAATGAACTGCATATAGAAACTAGTCAATCAATATCACACGGTATGAAGGCACAGAGGTTAAGATGGGTGGGAAATGTAGCTCGTAGCAATACATGTGGAATCCTTTACGTAACAATGAATACCTCAGCAGAAGGCAAAATACCAAAAATCAGATGGATAGATAGAATCAACTAAAATGCAATAGAGCTGCGGGCAGATAAATGGAAAGAAATAGCCCAAGGAGGAAAAAGATCTACAGGGTCTGTAATGCCAATGAAAAAAAAAAATAAAGATAAATTATTTAATACGTTAAGAAGGAAAACCTGGCGGTTGAGATTCATCTTGGTCAAATCACCTCTCTACATAGCGGTTGATCAAGAAACAGAACTTCCTTACACAGTACTTAACCCTAAACCCTTCATAGGTTGGAATGGTACATGTTTTTGTTCTGTTTTTATGTACCTATACAAAAACAGTACTCTTATCGACTGGTTACAGAAATGTAAAAAAAAAAATAAGCTTTCTTTATTTAAGAAAATCCAGTGAAGAACAAGTGGACCAACCAGCCAACCCATCCGATCTTAGTTACGCCACTGCTCCAGTTTATTGTAAAAAACTTCTAATGAGTTTCAAACACAATTAATATTC